ATATATATGAGAGAGAGAGAGCACTCTTGAGTTTTTTATGTAAATTAGATATTAGCTCAGCTGTAGAGTTGGTTAAGATCTCCTTCCATTCTGTGTGCTATCATTTTATCCTATTGACAATGTCCTTTCCTTTACAGAAGCTTTTTGGTATCAAGAAGTTCCATTTGTTAATAGTTGATCTTGGTGTCTGTGCTACTGATGTTCTGTTCAGGAAGCCCTCCCATTCACTAACACACTCAAGGCTGTTCCCTACTTTCTCTTCTATCAGGCTTTGTTGAAGATGGTTTCTCTTTTTCCATTGTATACTTCTGGTTTCTTTATTAAAAATCAGATGTCCATAGGTATGTGGATTTGTGTCTGGGTCTTTGGATTCCATCTAATTCACTTCCATTGATCAGTGTGTCTGTATGCCAATTCCATGCAGTTTTTGTTACTACAGCTCTGTAGCACAGCTTCAGATGAGGGATGATGTTACCTTCAGAAGTTACTTTATTGCAGAAGTTACTTTATTTTTTTTTAGCCATTGTGGGATTTTGTTTTGTTTTGTCCTTCCATATGAAATTGAGTATTAGTCTTTCAAAGAATTGTGTTGGAATTTTGATGGTGGAGATTACATTGAATCTGTAGATTGCTTTTGTTAGGATTGCCATTTTTACTGTGTTAGTCCTACCAACTCATGAGCGTGGAAGATCTTTAAATCTTCTGATATCTTCTTCAATTTCTATCTTCAAAGACATGAACTTTTTATTACACAAGTCTTTCATGCCTTTGCTTAGAGATACCCCTGAATACTTTATATTAGTTGTGACTATTGTGAAGACTGTTTACCTGATTTCTTTCTCAGTCATTTGATCTATATAGAAGGGCTACTATTTTTTTTTTGTAGTTTATCTTATATCTAGCCACTTAGCTAAAGGAATTTATAAGCTGTAGGAGTTCCCTGGTAAATTTTGGGGGTCACTTACATATGCTATCATGTTATCTGCAAATAACAATACTTTGACTTCATTTTAATTTGTATCCTCTTGATCTCCTTTAGTTGATTTATTGTCTCAGCTAGAACTTCAGCTGTTATATAAAATAGATATGGAAAGAGAAGACAGCCTTGTCTTGTTTGTAGTTTTAGTAGAATTGCTTTGAATTTCTCTCCATTTAATTTGATGTTGGCTATAGCTTGCTGTAAATTGCCTTTATTATGTTTAGTTATGTACCTTGCATCTCTGATCTTTCCACGATTTTTATCATGAAGGGGTGTTGGATTTTGAAAAAGGATTTTTGTCATCTAACAACGATCATGTGGTTTTCTTCTTTCAGTTTGTTTATATCATGGATTACATTGACAGATTTTTGTGTGTAATTCTCCTTCTTTATTGAATCTTCATGTATCAGGATGACTGTGACCTCATAAAATGAATTTGACAATGTTGCTTCTGTTTTTATTTTGTGGGATAATTTGAGGAGTACTGATATTAGGTCTTCTTTGAAAGTCTGGTAAAATTCTGTGCTAAACCCATCTGACTCTGAGCTTTTTTTCGGTTGGTAGACATGTAATGACTGCTTCTATTTCCTTAGGTGTTATTGGTATATTTAAATTGTTTAGCTGATCTTGCTTTAACTTTGGTAAGTGGCATCAGTCAAGAAAAGATACCATTTATTTCAGATTTTCCAATTTTGTGGAGAACAGATTTTTTGGAGTATAACATAATGATTCTTTGGATTTCTTTTATGTCTGTTATTAAGTTTCTGGCTTTGTTAATTTAGATATTCTCTCTCTGGTTTTCACTTAGGTTAAATAAGGGTTTGTCTTGTTGATTTTCTCAAGGAACCAACTCTCAGTTTCACTGACGCTTTGTATTGTTCTCTTCGTTTCTATTTTATTGATTCAGCCCTGAGTTTGATTATCTCCTGCCATCTACTCCTTTGGTGTGTCTTTGCTTTTTTTTTTTTTTTTTGAGAGCTGTCTGGCATGGTGTTAAGTTGCTAGTATGAGATCCCACTAACTGCTTTATGAAGGCACTTAAGTGCTATTAACTTTCCTCTTAGTATTTCTCTCACTGTGTCCCGTAAGTTTGAGTATGTTGTGCATTCATTTTTATTAAATTCTAGAAAGTCTTCATTTATTTCTTCCTTGACCCAGTGGTCATTGAGTAGAGTTTTCAGTTTCCATAAATTTGTAGGCTTTCTGCATTTCTGTTGTTGAAGTCCACCTTTAATCCATAGTGATCTGACAGGATACAGTCCATTATTTCAATTTTCTTGTATCAGTTGAGACTTTCTTTGTGACCATGTATGTGGTCAACTTTTGAGACTGTTCCAGAGATGTGAAGGATTTGTGTGTGTGTGTGTGTGTGTGTGTGTGTGTGTGTGTGTGTGTGTTTGAGTGAAATGTTCTGGAGATACTTGATAGTCTCATTTGACTCAAACTGTTAGGTCTATTATTTCTCCATTTAGTTTCTGTCTGGATGATGTGTCCACTGGTGGGAGTGGGGTGTTGAAGTCTCCCACTATTAATGTGTAAGGTTCAATGTGTTATTTAAGCTTTAGTAATATTTCTTTTACAACTGTGGCTGCCCTTGCATTTAGGGCATAGATGTTAAAAATTGATATGTCATCTGGATTTTTCCTTTAATGAGTATGAAATTTCCTTCTCCATGTCTTTTGATTAATTTTGGTTTAAAAATCTATTTTATTAGATATTAGAGTAGCTATACCAACTTGTTTCTTGGGTCCGTTTGCTTGGAGAATCTTTTTCCAACCTTCTACTCTGAGATTATGTCTATCTTTGATGTTGAGGTGTGTTTCTTGTATACAGAAGGATCAATAGTGGTTTTATATCCATTCTGTTAGCCTGTGTCTTTTTATTGGGGAATTGAGTCCACTGATATTGAAACATAACAATAACCAATGATTGTTAATTCTTAATGCTACTTTGTTTTTGTTGTTGTTGTTGTTGGTGGTGGTGGTGGTGGTCCTGGTGGTATATGTGTGTTTCCCATCTTTAGGTTTTGCTAGTATGAGACTATTTATGACCTATGTTTTCATTGGTGTAGTTAGATTCCTTGGATTGGAGTTTTTCCTCTAGGATTTCTTATAGGGCTGTATTTGTAGATAAATACAAATATAAGTTTAAATTTGACTTTGTTATGAAATATATTATTTTCTCCATCTACAGTGATTGAAAGTTTTGTTGGGTATAGTAGCTTAGACCGGCATCTGCGGTCTCTTAAGAGTCTTCAAGACATCTGCCCAGCTCCTTCTGACTTTTAGTATCTCCATTGAGAAGTCAGGTGTAATTCTAATTGCTCTGCCTTTATGTGTCTTTGGCCTCTTTCTCTTGCAGCTTTTAATATTCTTTCTTTACCCTGTGTGTTTAGTGTTTGATAATTCTGTGGCATGAGGACTTTCTTTTCTGGTCCACTTTATTTGATGTTCTTTAAGCTTCTTTTATCTTTATAGGCACATCCTTCTTTAGGTTAGGAAATTTTTCTTCCATGATTTTGTTAAATATATTTTCTGGGACCTTGGGCTTAAATTCTTCTCCTTATCCTATTTTTTTTATTCTTAGGTTTGGTCTTTTCACAGTATCTTAGATTTTCACAATGCTTTGTGTTAAAGTTTTTTTGGATTTAACATTTTCATTGGCCAGTGAATCTATTGTTTTCTATCATATTTTCAACCCTTTAGATTCTTTCTTCCATTTCTTATATTCTGTTGGTAACGCTTGAGTCTACAGTTTCTGTTTGCCTACCTAGATTTTTCCATTTCTAGAATTTTCTCAGTTTGTAGCTTTTTTTATTGCTTCTATTTCCATTTTGATGTCTTGAACAGTTTCTTTCACCTGTTTGTTTGTTTGTTTGTTTGTTTGCTCTCTTGGTATTCTATCTAAGGGGTTTATTGATTTCTTCCAATTTTTTGTTCATCTTTTCCTTGATTTCTTTAAGGGATTTCCCCCATTTCTTCATTAATGATCTCTATCATCATCATAAAGTTGGTTTAAGGTCATTTTCTTATGCTTCAGCTGCATAGAAATATTCAGGTCTTTCTGTCTCTGGTGGAACCATATTCCATATCTGTTGTTGATTGTGTTCTTACACTAGCGTTTAGGCATCTGGGGCTGGGTGATTAAAGTTCTAGATACTGATTTCCAAGGCTGCCTTTGTTGGATGGGTGTTTTGTTCCTTGGTTTCTGTTTCCTCTTTGGTCTTCTGGTCTTTGTGGCCTGAATTTCTGGTGGCCTGCTTGAATGATGATTCACTAGGAAATCTGTGACCTGGTTAGGGGCTTGATTTCTAGCAACCAGCTTTACCTGTGGTTCAGTAGGGGGTCTTTATTCTTCTGACTAACATGACCTGTACCTGAGTAGCTGGAGTCTGGTGAAATTGAGGATCAGGACCCTTCTGCAGGGTGGCTGGTAAGGAGGGAGTAGAGAGGCTATGGAATGTGTCTTTGGGAACCTAATCTAGGGATTAAAGCAGTTCAGCTGGCAGGGGCTCAACTCACCTGTCCTTCTGAGTCCCATCTTACTTTTGAGATAGGTTCTTCCACTGGTTGAGTGCTCTGGGATCCACCTGTCTCTACCCTGCCCTATTCCTGACTCCCACATTGGGATTCCAACACTGCTGAGCATAGTGTTTGCCAGGTATCCTGGGTGTAGGGCTCATGTTGACACGCTTAAACAACAAGCACTACACAGTCTGAGCCCTCCCTCCAGCTTCTCAGTTGTTTTTTTATAAACATTTTTCTCTTCAGAAATGATGAATTCCTTGCTGTGAGACTACCATCTCCACATCTAGTTCCACTTCAACTTTTTTCATGCTGTATAAAATAGATTTTTATTTATGCATGAAGCAGGGAAAGCATTAAGTATTAGTTCTATGTTTATTAGTACAAATGTTTAGAGACTTTAATTTTAGTTAGTACAAATGTTTAGAGATTTTGATTTTAGTGAGTTAGAGACATGAGTATCAAGGTAAGAATTTATTTTTGTGGAATACCAGAATTCAGTTCCCAGACATCTTCTGGCCTCTGCAGGCACCAACATGCACACACATATATACACACACACACACATACACACACACTCAAACACATACAGAGAGATGCAGAAAGACACACAGAGAGAGAGAGGGGGGAGAGGGGAGAGAGAGAGAGAGAGAGAGAGAGAGAGAGAGAGAGAGAGAAGGAGAGAGAGTGGGGAGGTGAAGAAATAAAAATTAAAAAGTATTTGATTTTAATTTTTAGTATGAAAAATATTTTTAGTGAAGAAAAAAGGAATAAAAAGATAAGCCCTCAAAGTCTGATTTTTGTCTTTCAGACACAGACCTCGAGCCCAGTACTATGTATGAGTATAGAATTTCTGCATGGAACAGCTATGGGCAAGGATTCAGCCAATCTGTTAGAGCCAGCACAAGAGAAGATATACCTGAAGGAGTCGAGGCTCCTAGATGGGCCAGGACGGGCAATCATGAAGATGTTATTTTTTTACAGTGGAAGAAGCCCATGCAGTCAAATGGTATTGAACTACTTCAAAAATAGAATTACCAACTTTGTAAATCCCAACAGTTTGGAAATGCATGTATTGCACATTGACTTGCCTCAATTCAGTGGAAAATGTTTGCTGATAAAGGGAAACCCTTTGTGTCCACTCATTGCTCACTGTTTTGAGACAAAGTAAATAACGATGCTAAAAAGAATCACTCAAACCTCCCAGACCTTCACACCTGCTAGAGCTGCTTTCAAATAAGCAGATTATAGTCAAAATCAAAATTGTCCTGTTATTGAAAGTAAATCCATTTAGTCATGAACAGAGATAAACATAAACAACTCTGTTCTGCAATTCATCTTCCCTCTGGTAGTATAATTGAGAATTACTTGATCAAACAAACAAAAGCATGATATATTTTAAAATGCTACAATATCCCACTTCTATGACAGGGCTGTTGAGACAACTCAGTAGTTAAACAACATGTTCCACCATGCATAACTACCTGAGTTTGATCCCTGGGACCTGCATGGTAGGAGAGAAATGACTTCATTAAAGTTGTCCTCTGACCTCTGTCCTCTGACCTCTGTCCTCTGATCTCCGACCTCCACACAAATGCATGTACAGATGCACATACACATATGCAAGCGCATAAAGAAAAGTAATTGGGAAAGTTCTATGATGTCCGTGTTGTTTGATATTTCAAGTGGCATCACACACAACAATGCTGTCCTGCCTTCCAGGTCCCATTATTCACTACATTCTTCTTCGAGATGGAAGGGAGCTCTTTCGGGGAACAGTGCAGAGTTTCTCTGACACACAGGGAATTCAGCCACTCCAGGAATATTCCTACCAGCTGAAGGCTTGCACAGCTGCTGGCTGTGCTGTGAGTTCCAAGGTGAGAAGAACTCACGTAACCATGGGAAGAAGAGTCCAGGGTGAGGGATGTGTGAACGAATATCTTGGGTCTGATTTTTCCAAGGCCAGAAAAACCCTGTCTTCTTCAGAGCGGCATTGGTGGGAGTCTGTGTCATTGGATGTTGATGCTTACATCTGAAAGGAGAGATTCTCACAGAGGCTTAACCACATATCGGTGCTTTATTAAGAACGGTAAACTCTTAATTATCAGTGACTCTTTCACAACCCTCTCCCATTAATTATCTCTGGGCAGTTCCTGTGATAATTCTCCAGCCGGTCTCACAATGCGGGTTGGTGTCATCTCAAGAAGAAAGTTAACACACAATACATGTTCATATTAGTACCAGGTCTTTACATCCTAAGTACACAGAGTTCATGTGGCATGAAAAGAAATTTGGCAGTTAAAAAAAAAATCCTCTTTTGAAAGAAACCAACTGGTAGTGGCAGCTTTGAGAAAGGTGCTTGTTGACACACTGGCACAGGGATAAATACCCTCCCTTCTCAGGCAACAGAGTGTATCATCACACTCACAGGACCAGATGAGCCACCATCATGAAGGTTATTCTGAGGCCACTTCCCAGTTCTATTGCTTTTACACACTCCCATGGACCTTCCTATTTCCCAACAACATGACCTCCTACCCCCTTGTGTGGCCATCCAATGTTACATTCAGATTCCAGAACATTGAAGCAGAAATAAAGAACTCTTTAGATGATCCTCAGTCACAGGTACTTTGTCATAGTGGCCGGAAATGGAATAGGACAGTAGTATTCTACAAAGCTGTAAAATGTCCAAAACTACCCATCAGTTTATAATATTGTAGTGCCAGGGAAATGTTAGTGATCCCCAAGAAAACACACGGGAGCCAATCTGATGCAACTCACAGCAGGGTCTTTATTCTATTTGATCTAGCTCGCCACCCCTCACCGCATCTGGTTTTGTGGAGAGACAAGCCCTGAGTGTCTATCAGGGCAAGGCTTTATAGTAAGCAGCAAGCAGGAAGTACGTGTGCAAGCATCTATTTGGAAAGCTACTGTGGCCTTCAACATAACTGGCTGCTGCTGGGAGTCATATCATAAACTTAATTTCTGACCCCCTCTGCATTGGTGGTCGTTAGGCAGAAGTAACCTGGGATGCAGGTTTCTTGGGGGAATAACCTTGAGACACTGGTCTTGTTGGGGATTAGCCTGGAGACTGGAGCTAAGCTCCCATATTGTTGGGGGGGCAACTTGGAAACTAATGCTAGGTACCAGCCTGTTAGTTTACCTGAGTTCAAATTTAGGTCAGGTTCTCTAAAATGGAGTCTGAACTTAAAGGATCTGGCATCTCATCATCCTGTCAACAAACTGCCTGCACTTAGAAAAACCAGTGTCTGAGCTTACCGTGTGGATGAGTGACCTCAGCCTTCATTAGCAGCTACAGAATAATGAAGACCCAGATTTAGGTTCCTGGGGTCAGAAGGAGAGGCTAGGAAGGTAGTCAGCTGGTAAAGTACTTGCCTAGCTTGCACAAAGCCCTGGTTCAGTCACCAGCCCGGCCCTGCAGAAACCAGACATGTGCTGCAATCCCAGCCTTCTGAGGGAAGGCAGGAGAACCAGGAGTTGGAGTCCTTTTCAGCAACAGTAAGTTTGGGGACAGCTACACAATAGCATCTCAGAAAAGTGGCAAAGAAAACAAGATGCAGGTGACACAGTACGCAGGATTTGATGTGAACTCTGTACAGAAGATACAATTGTGTCCAACCTGCATCTCATGTTCATATACACTGGGGTTGCTGTGGCTGAGCCCCAAGACTAAACAAGGAACTACTTAAGGCATTATGAAATGTATAGGCAATTTCTTCTATGTTTCTCAAGCACAAACTTTGTAGATGGCAATGTTGCGTCACACTGTCAAAAGTTGGATGCCCAACTTTTGGAGAAAGGAAACTTTTAGGAGAAAGGAAAGTTGTATTTACGTCCAAGGTGTGTGGCTTCAGCTGTTTGTAGGTGTGGTTGCTGTGGCCCAGGCAGAAACAAAGATGTTAAAGCGATAAGATTATCTTCAAGCTTCTCAAAACTATTTAAGAGAAAGAGCAGATAGCAGGGAAGTAGAGGCAGATATCGTTTGTCATTGGAAATGGAAAAACACCGCGTGCTAGACCAGGAGCGGGGCTTGCTAGGAAGATCCGTTAGAGCAGTAGGTTTAGATGTGATCGTCAAAGGCACGAGGGAAAAACAGAAGCAGAGCCACGGAAACTGCCTCAGAAGGGAGAAGAAAGGAAACCCCGAAAAAGAGACTGAGGAGAAACAAAGAGTTATGAGGGAAAATTAACCAAGCGCCATTTCCCAGAAGCAGGTTTTGTAGGAAGAACCTCGTGAGACACCCTGGCAGACAGAATGACGCTAGTGATCTAAACTTCAGGAGAGTGGGCTCTTCACACGCTTGCAAGAGCCACACAACACTGAATCCGACTCATAAGCCACCACACACTTGGGCAGTTTTGTTCAACAGAGCTGTGGAGATAACCGAGCCTACCACCACACTGACAGATGGCAGCTGATTGGCTCAATGAAAGTTATGGTCTGAACAGTCCTTGAACAATTCTATATTTGTATATAACAGGGCCTGGGTCTACCAGATGCCAGAGCAATTGGTTAAAACATGAACTCAGGTTCACCCTGGGGGAAAAACATATCCCCAACAGCACATGCTGTCAGTCCCAGATAAACATATTTGACATCCATTTTTTTGATCCATACTTTGACACCGTTGACTCAGCAACTGGCTGGTTTTTTTGTTTTTCTTTTTTTTTTTTCTCACTAGGTTTGGTTCTTTTTCTAGAACATCAGTGCAGATAGTTTGCAGTCATCTCGAGAAGAATACAGGGAAGTCTGCCCTTTATTCTGCTTAAAGCCTGCTCTGTGCAAGCAAGTTCAGATGTAGCTTTTGCTCTATATTTACTGATGCTTAACTTTACGAAATCAGGCTGTTAAAATGCAAAGGCACTGATGGGCCATATGGAAGACAGTTCTCCAGGAAGACAGTCTGCCGTGCGGGTCGCACTTGTTTAAACTGAGGGCCGCACTCTGCCTTCAAAATTGTTGTCGGACCTGTTGTGATAAATAGTGGTTGGAGACTTATGTAATGTATTCAAGGTCAGATTTCATTGTTTAAATAGGATGAGAGGGAAGGAATGGAAAGGGGGGGTGCACTTCTCCCAGCCTTTACTAATGATATGCCACGCCAGACAGCAAAGCTCTAAAACAAAAGCGACATTTTCATTGATCAGGATCCTTCCTCGTGGACAATGGCAATAAATGGCTATTTAATTTCCATGCTCACAGGTAGTCGCTGCTACCACCCAAGGAATCCTGGAGAGTGTCCCACCACTAAACATCACAGCCCAGAGCTCAGAGGCTCTGCACCTCAGCTGGAGTGTCCCCAAGAAAACGAAAGATGCCATTAAAGAGTACCAGCTCTGGCTGGATGGGAAAGGGCTCATCTTCACCGACACAAATGACAGGAGGCAGCATACGGTCACAGGTGACAAAACTGGAAATCTACTGGAGGAGGCTGTCATTGCAGTGGGGTTGGGGCGAGGCTCCCAGGGGTGTGCGTTTGATATATGAGGTCACTCCGAAAGGACACATTCTCTTGACATATGGTCAGGTCCCACTTATCCATGCTAATCGAAGAGCCCACACTGGCAGCAATAAGCCATGGCAGCAGAGAACTTTCGGGATAATTTACATTTGGCTTTGATAACGCAGTGTGTGGAGAGGGGGGCCTTGTGTTGGGATTAACTTTTTTTTTTTTAAACAATATGATGCATTTTCATTCCTCGGGGGTATTATGTTCACAGATAGTGGGACTCGGGCAGCCAAGTAAGGATGAGGAGGTAGAAGAAAACCAGCATGAAGAAGCTGACTGGGGCTCCAAAGTGAATACCTGGCACTCACTGACAGTTGCCTGCTCCGAACTTCTTGTCATTATCACTTCTGTTAATTAATAGCGATTGCATTATTTTGATTACGTATAATATTGTCGTCGTTATTACAATAGTGCAGTGCAGGAGAAAAATGTTAGCTCAACCCTCCTGGTGATCGTAATAACTATGATCGTGTGTAGCCTGAATATTTCATTTGAAGAGAAAAATGTGTTTTCTTATCAACTTGTTTAATTTAATCATAGACTTCATACCACCTGGTAATTTAATATTTGGTTTTTGTCTTTTCTTTTTTCTTTTTTCTTTTTCTTTTGCCTCCCTCACTGGCAAATGTAGGCTACAGGAGAGCAGGGACCAGACGTGTCTGTTAGGTGCTGTACTGCTAATGACTATACTCATGGTCAGTAGGCCAACGTGAGCTGGGTGAATTGAGAATAGATAAGCCAATCGATCTCAAATACTATCTAAACACTTGCATGCACTAATTCAGTTCTTGTGTCAAACATAAGATGGCAGAGATGATTCTTAGCTCTGTTTTACTGGGGGGAAAACACTTTTGGAGGTGAAGTCAGCTAGTTTATTCTTGAGATTCACTGAGTCACTACAAACACAGCTCGAAGTTGAGACTCTGAGACCAGGATTTTCCAAATTGTCACTATTTCCAAATTGTCACCCACATCTTTCTAAGACTTCCCAAAGCAATGACCTCTTTCTGCTCAGCTCTGTGCTTTTGAAAAGTATTCACCGAGCAGATAACAAAACTTTCAGAAAAGCACAGAAATGTCTAGAAAGATATGCCTGCGTTTTCTGGAGCCAAAATGTATGCTGCATCCATGAAAAAGTAACTCCATGACATTTTGTTTGAAAGTTCCATGATTCTCTGCCATCTAAGCAAGCCTTGACTGATGGGGTCGCTGATGTTTTTACAGAGGTCCCATAGATCCTAGGAAGATACTTAGCATGTGTTTGCATGCCTGCACATCTTACTCCACATCTGGAGATCACAAGCTGACCTTGAGATAGAATGAGAAGGGAACAATTTTGTCAACTCAAGGGTCTAGCTGGTTTCTTACATCTTCTTTCACTCGAAGTAAAGCAAGCACAAGTACTGAACTAGAGTATTGGTTTAGGTAGTAAACCTCACCTTTATTGATGGCTGTATCATCTTAAAGAATAGATGTCTTCTGACACATTTGCTCTTTACCACATCCCTGTAAGTGAGGGAAGTTTGTAGCATCCATGCTTAAAAGATAAGCAGAACTCACCCACTTGAGGTGTTCACAGCATTTACTAGCTCCATCTGTAAAGGAATCAGAATGGTGTGTGTGTGTGTGTGTGTGTGTGTGCGTGTGTGTGTGTGTGTGTGTGTGTGTTTCTATACATATATGTATGCACAAACATATATATATACATACATACACACCTATATATACATATGTGCTTACTGCTACCCAATGGTCATCATCTTGATAGTACATAAAACTTTTTAAATAAGATTGTGAGGACTGGGAAGGTCCTCAGAGGGTGAAGGGACTGCTGTGCAAGTGTTTTTTTTTTTTTTTTAATATATTATTTTTTTTTTTTTTTTTTACCTTCTTTTTTTTTATTTCTTTTTTTTTTTTTGAACATGAAATGCTTTTTTATAGCATGTTTTACAAGGGGAGGGGGTAAGAGGGTCCAGGTGGTGGAAAAGTACAAAATCTTCTTGGCCTGTGCCTTGAAACATGTCATGGTCTATATGGTACACTGCCTTGAATTATGATCTACCTGCAGTTCTTCAGAAGATATGGTACACTGCTTGAGTTATGGTCTCCCTGCTATTCTTAAGAAGACATGGTACTCTGCTTTGAGTCTATATGCAGTTGCTAAGCAGGATCTTGCAGTTGCCAAGCTTCAGAGGACATTGTGCAGGTGGGGAAGGGTAGGGGGTAAGGGTAAGGGCGAGGGTCCTGGCTTCTGGCATCTCCCCCTTCTCTGTTTAGTTAGAGAAGGCGTCTTATGTTCAATCCCAACTATGTGAGTTTTGAATTTGGATGTCTAATTATGGGGGGTCTTAGACAAGTTCACAACCCCAAAACACTGATGTGAGACGAGTCACATCGATGGTCGAAGGTTTTAGGCTGTCGACGATGGGCAACGTCAAGGGACTCTGATGTGGGTGAAAGGAGGGTGAGAGCCCTGTCTTAGGCCATGTAGGCTGCACCCACTCCCAGCACCACGCACTCCTTTTCGGCTGCATTGGGTGGGCCCCTGGGAAGTGGACCTACAATAATCCCGTCATTGGGCTAACTCACAGCCATCCTAGTCTTGTAAACTGGTACAACCACTATGGAAGGCAGTCTGGCAGTATCTCAGAAAATTGAACATAGCCTTACCTAGGGACCCAGCTATACCACTCCTGGGCATATACCCAAAAGAAGTTTCAACATACAACAGGGACACATGCTCCACCATGTTCATAGCAGCCTTATTTATAATAGCCAGAAGTTGGAAAGAACCCAGATGCCCTTCAACAGAAGAATGGATGCAGAAAATGTGGTACATTTATACAATGGAGTACTACTCAGCTATTAAAAACAATCAGTTCACAAAATTCCTAGGCAAATGGATGGAGCTGGAAAATATCATCTTGAGTGAGATGACCCAATCTCAAAGGAACATACATGGTATGCACTCACTGATAAGTGGATATTAGCCCAAAAGCTCACAATTTCTAAGAATCTTCATATAAACCGCAAGTGTTTACATTAAAAGGAAAACAGCCAGTTGTTGAGGTGGCGCGCATCTGTAATCCTAGCACTGGTTTGGGGGAGGACAGAGAGACAGGATGATTCCTGGAGCTCACTGAGCAGCTCGTGTAGCCACCTCAGTCAGCACCAGGTTCAGTGAGAGACCCAAAATGAAGTGGAGAGCAGTCGAGGAAGAAACTTGATGTTGACCTCTAACCTCCACAAACACAGGCACTGGCAAATTCTGTGCACACTCCTCACAGAGAACAATTAACAAATCAGTTCATTGGCATGGTGGCCTCTAAGATATCCTTGTTAGAGGGAAGGCCACCAGGTAAAGGTATGATGGCATGGACCAGCACAGGGTGCAGAGCTGGCAATGTAGCAGACTTGGAGTGTTGTAACTGAATGTGAGTGAAAGCCCCCCAAAAATCAGCTAAAGCCACCTAAATCTATATAGCAGCTCATGCTAGTTTCACAATAAGCTGAGAGACAAAGCTGAAGAATGGTGGCCCAATGATCTCTCTCTTCTTAGGTCGCCTGGCCGTGAATTGTTGCCAGCTGTACTGGTTAGCATCAGAGACTGGCACTGAGATACCAGCAAACCAAATTCAATTATAATGTACAAAGCCACGGGATGGATGGCCTCATTAATTATAAAATAATTTCAGAGTCCTCTCTTTAAATCCACTTGCTCCTCTGATTCTTCCTTCCACTGTCATTCCCAATCAATATTCTCCTGTCAAAGAGGAGTGTATACACTCAGGTTGGTGCCAGAGGTCCTTGCGTTAGAATCAGGATTGTAAAGTTTTTCTCTGCAACTTAAACTTTTTCAAAGATCATCAAGTGAAAATAATTCTTGAGAGGTCCTATTTTGTGTTTCTTTTATTATTTTTTTGAGATATCTTTCCTACTTGGGTCTATATTTGCATCATTTATACCTTCTCTCTGCCCCTCCAACACCTCCCATCTCCCCAACCTCACGTATTTGTCTTTAGTAACTATTTTTACATATATGTGTGTACACATGTGTGTGTGTATATATATATACATATACATATATATATATATATGTATATATATGTATGTATGTATATATATATTGATACCACCTGCTGAATTTATTCACTGTGGCTCAGACACAAATGTGTTTGGTTCTGACTACCTGGATAACCTATCAGGAGGGCCCTTCCTAGGGAAAACTGATTTTCTGTCTCTCGGGAGCCACTAATGCCTGAAACTCCTCACCTAAGGGTCTGGGCCTTGTGAGATTTCCCCATCCACACTGGGAAGTCAGTGGATGGTCGACGGTCAACTGGGGTTTTTATTGTGCAGGTGCTGCTCAGGTGACCATATTGTTGAGACTTTTATGGGTGCCGATTCTTTAGTGTGTGTGTAAGACACTGTCTTGCAGCAGACATTCTGGTGATCTGGCCCTTACAGTCTTCCTGTCCTGCTTTTACAGAATGCCCTAGTGAAGGGTTTGTGCGGTATTGAGTGTAGATGTATCTAACAGGGTTGGGCACCCACAGTCAGTTGTTCTCTGCAGTTTGACCAGCTGTGAGTTGCTGTGATAGTCTCCAGAGTCCTCAGGTCCATTGCCTGTCTTAAATCTCACCTGGGCAGTAAAGCCCTAAAGACAGGGAGTTCAAAGCTTGCTACATGCAGTTCCTGTGGAGCAGGAGGGGTGCAAGGCCTGAGCATCTCTAAACCCAGGATCTCCATATTGGGGTGTGCTTTCTCTACCCCAGAACACCAGGTCTGTGGTCAACTGACTGACCAAATGCCAGACAGAAGCATTTATGATGCAATGGGTATTTTACTGAGTTCCATGGAATGAAGGAAAAGATTAGAATTTGCTTCCCAGC